CAATTGTAACTTCGATATGATTGGTTACATTTTTTTTCGGTCGATCCAGTCCGATCTAGAAATGAACAGGGCTATAGACTCAAGAGACTTTTAAACAAGAACGTTTGACAGTTACACATGATCATGCAATCTGATTGGTTCTATACGCGTAAATTGCATGCCAGAAATTACGTCATTTTATTTTTCATAAATCATATAGTACCCCCTGAATTTGAATAAAAATTATATAATTAAATTCGGTATTTTCAATTGATCAGAAATTAGTCGGAAATTGGTTTTGCCGACCAAATGAACGCTTTCATGTATTTTGCATTGATTAAATAATTTCTCAAAATTCATAAATCATAAAAAGTATTAATAGCTTAAATTAACTCGAAATTTTAAATAATTTTATTAGTTTCATAATAATCATTAAATATATAATCTTTAAAATACTTAACCACTATCTACATGGAGGCACATACCAACTCAACGACAAGAAACTAACGTTATTGTGAAAATGTCCTTATATGCTCGCCAGCGATTAATCCTGAACCCTTCAAACATTCAATTCCAAGCCCATCTTTTGATCCAATAATATCGGTGATTTTATGTCGTGTATCTCTTTCCTCAACGATTTCTTCCGCGATAACGGATTTCCTTCCATTTTGATGTAATTGCTTATGTCTCCGAATCAAGATAAAGATATTTGATACCTTTGCTTGGATTTCCTTTATCAATCCATGCAACGTTAAAATGATTCATAACTTCTTCCGCATTCCCATTGATCTTCCATTCGGTTGCTTTGTAGAAAAATTGATCTTCTAAAGGACAAAAAGGTCCAATATGATATGAGATATGTGATATCATTTGCAATCACGATAATATTTCTACCTTTGGGAAATTCGGGGTAAAAGAGTAAAGATCCACCATAACAAATTAATTCGTTCCCTAAGCTCTCTCCACTTCTTGTAAATAATTATTCTCGTCAAGCACAAGTTCTTTGTCATCCAAAACATCACTAGGACATTTAAGGTTTGAACTATGATGAGATGCACGATTCCATAGTATTCTAACATCTTGGCGAAATAATTCGGGAAAATCGTAAGCATAGGTGGTACCCATTAATGAGCCTGGTGAAGCCATTCTTTTGTTGGGTAAGGCATGTGGGTTGGTTGCAAGTGCATTGAACCCTGTCGACCAATTGATTTAGGAATCCAGCTTTCACGTTCTGTCTTCACCCTCCTGATAAGTTTCTACTTTAACAACATACCCGGAGACATTATTAAGTAGGGTCTTCAACTTTGAAACAAACTTCGGCTCCGGTCACACGCAACCTCCATAATCTTTTGCCGTGCCGATCAATAAATCCTTTAACAGCTTCCTCAACTTGTATTGCTTATAACATAAATGTTGGAATGTGAATTATAAATAAATGATTGCAGTAAGAATTCTATGTTCTGAACAAACGATCTCAAGAGAATCCAAAATCTCATTCAATAATCTGTCGGACTCCGAGATTAAATAATCAGCCGTACGCACGCTATTTCGCAACTGACAAGGACGAACTAAGGATCGAATGAAGAATCTACAGTCCGAAGTATTTTCTTTACCAACGGCATAATAATCATGAATCTGTCGATTGTCAGTAAAGCAAGGAGTAATATCGAAATTTGATAACCTCGTAAGCTCAAGTTGATAGGCCATGGCTGGTTGGATATGACGAATTGTTTGATCCTCAGTATAATCTGTTGTTTCACGAACGTGAAATACCCCGGATATTGACCCTTACGAAATAGGACAATAGTAATTCTTCGTATTCTATGTTCACGTAATTCATAAGAATGTCGTTGTATAAAGGGTTTGAGTTGTTTTTTCAAAGCTTCATTTTCTATAACATCATCTTCCAGCCTTAAAACGATATTCAAAACATTATTTATATTGTTTATATCTGATGGATCCTGAGATTTCCATCATTGGACAGTTTGTATTTTTGGAAAAAGTTGTCTCTTGTTTTGCAATCGTAACGGGAGCCTCTTCAATGATCTTTTGATAACGCCTTTGAACCGAACAATCTCTTCCAAATAAGGAGATCGCATTTCCGTATTGATCCGCTAAACTCGAACTTCGAGATGACGAGCATTTCATGATGAAAATCAGTGAACCAGGAACTTCACCTTGAACTTGAGCAAATGGTTGCAAAAATTATCTGGATTTTCCACTTTTCTAATTCCTTTTCCTCTTCCACCCTCTGAAGCTTTGATCATGATAGGAAATCCAATGATACTTGCTTTATTTAACCCATCATAACGTCCTTGACGCACGCCTCTTCGTAAACACTTTTGGAAATAATAACATGACCTTGTTCATCAAATTCAGTTTGGGTGACACCATTACTACTCCAATCAATCGTAGGAAAATTTGCAGATGAGCAACGATCATATATGATATTTTATCATCTAACGAACGCATCGCTGAACTGGGAAACTATCTTATGTTTACTCTGCGCTAATGATTCAGGTAATTAGGGTTCTCGGATGCATGTCCCCTTGTTTTGATGAATTAATTGACAATAATTAGTATCCTTAAAAGGATATTACCATTAATAACATAAACCTACTTTCTTCATCATCTTCGAATATACGTTTATGATCCAAGTAAGAATAAAAGAGTGTGTGAAAGGAAAGCAAATGTAAGAATAAACAAATAAAAAAGTTGTAACAAATAATAGTTGTATAAGATAAATTAATTTAATTCGAACGTGTCCAACAAATGACAAGAAAAAAATGAATGAATGTAAATAATTTTTTTGTATAGTTTTCTACGCAATTTATTCATTAATTATCTTTTTCTAAAATTCTCTTAACACTTTTCATCAGCTTCCACCAATTATCTCTTATTATTTTCAACTCAACTTTTTCCTTCTTAAACTCCTTTATCTTCCAAATAAATTTTCTGGTTCTCAATCATTCCATCCCTCATTTTCCAACTTATCTTCCAGCTCATCTAACTTCTCCTGTTTTTTCCCCTTCACGAAGATATCCAACATCTCCTCTACCTTTTCATATCCTTGCTCTGCCTCTTTCAAAAATTGTTCAATTTTGTCAAATGTTGCCATTTATAATTGAAATACAAAAGTTTATTTGCGAAAAGTTCCTATACATGGCAATTAGACCTTCCTACGGATTGGACGATAATATCACATTTCATTTTAGACAGATCTTTATTATATAAAGATCAGCTGCGGCTAACCGACTTGGCACAGTATTATATACAGGTTAAGGATTTCCCAAATATATTCAATTTCAATTATGAACAATTCAAAATCTTATAAACCAATTTCACTTCCCATAATAGATCTCTCGCCATTAGAAAACCCCTTTTCATCATCCAAACTTTGTTTAGACAATATTGCAACAGAAATTCAAAATGCATGTACAAAATATGGTGTATTCTACATTACTTGTTCTTCCTTCCATACTACAGACCAGATAAATATTAACGAAGCGTGTCAGCAATTTTTTTCATTACCTTCTGATATAAAGTCCTCACTTTCAATAAAATCAGGTGGATTTACACGAGGATATATTGGAATGGGTGGAGAATCTGGTTCACATAGGCTAGAAGTTAAAGAAGCATTTTCGTATGGCTATGAATGGGAAAATAACGAAGCGAAATTCGAGAATCTTTTGCAAGGACCAAATGAATGGGGAAACTTAGTAATAAAATTAGGTACAGAATGGAGAACAACATTGAATCAATATTATAATAAAATGGTTTCGTTATCAGAGTTGGTTGTTAGAAGCTTAGAGCTTGCTTTAAACATTGAATTAAAACAGCATTGTGTTGGAGGGGAATCCATATCTCTTCTAAGGTTATTTAGATATTTTCCTTATAAACATACCGATGATGATAAAAGTGAAAATGAAAAGATTGGAAGTTCCCCACATACAGATTGGGGATTTTTGACCTTAGTATCAGAATTAAACGATTCACAAGGACTTCAATTATTTCATGATAATCAATGGTGGGATATTCCTTATAAACAATCCTCGATTGTTGTCAACTGTGGCGATTATCTTTCATTGCTTACGCGTGGAAAATATATTTCTCCGTTGCATCGTGTTATAAGTGATGGGACAAATGAAAGATATTCTACCGTCTTCTTTTATTATCCAAATTATGACGCGAAAATTCCTTTAATAGGTAATAACAAGGAAGAATTGGAATTCAATAAAAAAGAATTAAGTATTTTTAAAGATCAGACTGTATATAATGAAGAGTGCGATGCTAAACTCCCAAAGGATTTGTGCTTTGGAGAGGTAAAGTTTCATTTTATTATATTCAATTAAATGTAATGAAACATATTTTAAAAAAAATTCTTACATTTTTTTTTAGTATATTACACGTAAATGGGATCAAGTTTTTCGTGATGGGAAAAATTATTAAATTTGTATTTTTATTTATACAAGTAATTTCACGTGACCAAGATCTACGCTTCTTTAATGCAAATGACGTATCTTACGCGGAGCTTAATATATCATTCTCCGCAGACTTGACATAATAAAATTATATTTAGTTACACTCTGTTGGATTTTTTTCTTTTATAAAGAATTTCTTTTTTTTTTCTCAGCACAACTTCATAACTTATAAACGCGCAAATGTTTAAAAACTCAAATCCGTACGATGATGATGTTAGTACGTATTAATTTTATGATATCGATTAAATTATTTTTATCTTCTTTTTTTAAAAAAAAAAATATTTTTTTATATTAACGATTTACTGTTTAATAGCTGCTGCAACTAGTGAAAACCTCACTAAAGAAAACTGGGATCTTATAACAACATTATGTGAAAAGACTGAAAAAGGTGGAGAGCAAGGGTAAAGACTTGAATAATAATATTCATATTACCTTAATACATTTCAGCAGTTCAATTTAATCATTTTTTATATTATTAGTGCTCGCGAATGTGTAGCTGCTATTCAAAAACGGCTGCAACATAGGAATCCTAACGTTCAAGGTTTTGCCTTGACGGTGTGTTAATTTGTTTTATTATTATTGTTATTCTTATTACTCACTTTCTTATCCTAATATGTTGGATCTAAATGTAATTATAGCTTTCGAATTCTCTCGTCAAAATGTGTGGTATCAATGTGCATAAAGAAATATCTTCTCGTATGTTCACACAAACATTGACTCGTATATTGCAAGATAAGGTTTGAAGCTTATATTACTTGTCATTATTAATTTTCAAGATCAAAAACTTTTTTATACAACTTATATTCTTATAATACAGAGTACGCATGAAACCGTAAAAAATCGAGTACTTGATTTGATTCAAGAATGGACTAATGAGTTTCGTTCCAATGATACTATGGGTCTTATGGAAGAAACTATGAATAATTTACGAACACAAGGTAAACTAAGTTTTTTTTTTTTTTACTTTAATAATGAGTTTTTATCAATTAGATCACTTATTGAATAATTCGCATCTTTAGGCTTCCATTTCCCTTCACCAGAAAAACCTAAGAAAGAATTAAGCGAAGTACATAATTTGACAGAATTTTTCGTTAAATTGTTGGTTATTTATCTAAAGGATATTTTTCTTTATAGTATGAACTTGAGAAACAAAAAAAGGAAGAGGAAGAACAAGTTCAATTGGCCATGGCACTTTCTCTTTCAGAAAAAAGTGGACAACGAATTGTGTGTTTGAATATTACCTACTTTTATTTTATCTTTTAGTTCAATATTAATATGATATCTACTTTTTACATAGGTTTCCACCACAACTCCCGTATCTTCAACCGCATCACAGCCTCTATCGCAGCCTCCATCGCAACCTCCATCGCAGCCTGTATCACAAGTATGACTGCGATAAATTTATAAGCGAAACTTGTTTAACCTTTTTATTAATAATTCATAAAATTCTTTAGAGTCATAATTTATCTCCTAACGTCTCCAAGGTCAAAGCATTATATGATTTTGTTCCTACTGAATCAGGAGAACTTGGGTTTTCCCGTGGTGACGTTATCACTGTATTAGATAGCGTGTATAAAGATTGGTGGCGTGGTGAGTTGCGTGGTAAGACAGGTATTTTTCCTGTCAATTATGTAGTAAGTATCAGTAACATGTATTATTAGCATTAGTCTATTACGTTGAAAAGAAGCAAGTCCTTACGCAGTTTGACTACGATTTTTATTACAGGAAAAGCTTCCGGAACCCACTGCCGCAGATATTGCAAGAGAAGCGGAAATTGAAGCTGCTATTTTTGCTGAAGGTCGAAACATTGATCAATTATTAGAGTTGTTGGCAGGGCTTGATATTACCAAAGATAGCGTCACAGATAATGATCACATTCAGGTTCTTAATATTAATTTATATTTTACAAAATTATTCAGTCGTTATTAATTTTTGAATTCTATTATAGAATTTGTATAACAACACTTTACCGGTTCGGCCAAAATTGATGAAATTGATCGAGAAATATAGCCAAAAGAAAGGTATATTATTATTAGTAAAACAATTTTTTTTTATATTATATATATTAATTACGTTCTTTAAATCTTTTTTTTTTTTAGATGAATTAATTGCATTGCATAAAAAATTCATTCAGGCTACTACAGCTTACGATAAACTTATGGCCGAATCTTTAAAAAAATACGAGGGTTAGTAGAATCTATCAAAAATCCAATTCATAGTTTAATGTGATTATAACTTATTAACAACATTTTATAAATACATAAATGTAGCATATATAAATCCAAACCCACAACCTCAATTTAATTACCCACCCGCGACTACTGGTTATAATGTTCCACCTGCTCATAATTATCAACAAAATGCTGGTGGATATGCTGATTCAGCAGCTGCGCATGGTTATTATAACCCACAACAACATTTCCAACAGATATTTCAACAAACAGAAAAAGCAACTTCTTATCAAACACCACCACCACCACAACAGTATTCTCAACAATTTCCACAGCAGGATGTTGTAGCAAAACTTAACGCTTATCAACAAGCAAACCAGCAACAATATCCTTCCACCCAACCTCAACAAGACAATGTAAATCAACAACCACCTAATAATTATCCCACACAGTATCCATCTCAAGATGTAATCGGACAATTAACTTCTTATCATCAGGCGCAACAACAACCACCAGTCCAACAACCGCAACAACAAGCTCAACAACCACAGCAACAAGCTGTTCAACCTGCACAATTTGCGGCTTCAGAAAATCAACCGATTTCAAATTACATCACCCCAGATAATAAATTAAATTCAGGCTCTACACCTAATTATTTGCCCCAACAATCCCAACAACTTCAACAGAATCAACTATATTCCACCCAAAACACTCAGGAACAACCCAATCAACAATCGAATTATCAACAACCTTCCCAGTTTCCTCCTTCAGATAACAACTATTATTCTCAACAATCTCAAACAATCCAAGAATATCAACAAACACAACAGACATCACCACAACCACCTACTCAACAACCACCTCCGCAACAACCACCTCCACAACAACAACCTCCGCAACAACCACCTCAACAAAATCAACCGGGTCAAGCAAATTATCCACCTAATTCGCAATCATCATTCCATCAAACACCTTACAATAATCAGTATTTACCACAAGCAGATGGAACTGCTGGTTATCAGGCACAATCTTCAGCTTCCCCTAATCCTGAAATTGTAGCTACTACAGGACAATCATCTGCTAATTATAATACTTATAATACTCCCCCTCCAAATTCTAATAGTAGTATTAGTTCGTATTCATTTAATGACGCTTCATATACCCCTACTGCAGCTCAACAGACACCATCGGCCCCCCCCACCAACACAACAACAAGCAATATCATTAGCACAGATATCACGACATATTCAGGGTTTGCCAGAACAACAAACACAATCTGCTTACCCACCAAATACACAACAGCAACAACAATATCCTCAGCCAAATTCATACTATAATGCATCACAAGGCGCATCAGCTCCTTATGGTACTCCTGTTGCTCAATCTGAATTCGTTTAATAAAAAATAGTTATAATACAAATATTAGTTTATATATTTGAATGTATTTGCTTTTTATTATTCATTTTATTTATTTGTTATATAGGAATTTTTTTTTTAAAAAAAAAATTATATATATATATTATGCATATTTAATGCATTTTTATAGTGAAATCTTAGATGTTAAATTGAAAATTGGTTTATAAATGAAAAAAAAATAATAAAAATCCATTTGTTTTTTTTTAAAAATTATTTTTGAAAAAAATATTAAAAAGAATCTTATAATAGATAGGAACTTAAATAAAATTTATTCTTATGATTAGAAAAAAATTTTTTCTCAATTTTGTAAATTATGTAAGCATCCCGTGATATTAATAATAGCCAATCAAAAATTAGAATTTGATAAATCATGTGATATTATTAAAATTAATAAAAATCATTTAATATAAAAAATCACAATTTTATTTATTTATTTTATGATATCTAAAAAAATTGATAATTAAAGTGTTCAATTTCATATGATGATTAACATAATAATTTATTAAAAATTCATGCAAAAAGAAAGAAAACAAAAATCAATTAATAATTTATATTTCTATGATTCAATTTAAATTATTTTGATTTTTCTAAAAAAAGAATAAAACTCTTCTAATAACTAATTCTAATATTACTTTATTATAATATTATAACACATTATAATTATTTAAAATTACATTATAAGTTATATTAAATATTCTATTATTTTCTAAAACCTATAAATAAAAGAAATAAATTTTTAAATAATTAATGTTAAACATATAATATATATATTAAATAATAAACTCACATATTTTGAATGTTTTATTATTAAACTTTTTATAATCTACAATTTACAAACTTCAAAAAAACCCTATTGTTTATATAAACATTTTAATAATTCATATTCTGCTAAAATTTGTCTTTAAATAACAAAAATATGTTGTTGACTAGATTTGCTGATTTCTTTCTAATTTAAAACTAATTTGAAACTAATTTAATATATATTTTATGAACGCGAAAATATTTTAAAAAATATAAATCATCAGAATTTCATGACTGATAATGGATCAACCTTATTACCTGCTGTAACCCAAATAATCTTCAGGAAATTGGGAATGTGACGCAGTAAAGTGATCTGCAAATAATCATCATGTGAATTGATCTGCAAAAATCAATGACACA